GAAGGCAGACGCTTAATGACTGAGCCACCCAGGCGCCCCTCTTTTGTCTATTTTTAAACCGGAACATCTTTATGGTTAAGTTTTAAGAGTTCTTTGTATAGATTCAATACAAGTCCCTTGTCAGAGATGATTTACAAATATTTTCTCCTAATCTGTGACATGTCTTTTTATTTTCTTCACTGGATTTTTTTGAAGTACAGAGTTTGGAAGTTTAATGAAGTCCAACTTACCAATTTTTCTCTTTTGGTGTCATATCTAGGAACTCTCTGCCTAAATCGCGGTCATAAAGATTTTCTCCTGTTTTCTTCTAGAAGTTTTATAATTTTAGCTCTTATGTTTAGGTCTGTGATCATTTTGAGTTGATTTTTGTGCATGGTGTGAAGTAGGGATCCAACTTAATTTTTCCCCCTTTTTTTTGGTGTATGGATATCCTATTATCCCACACTGTTAAAAAGATTATCCTGTCCCTATTGAATTTCTTGGCACCATTGCTGAAAATCAATTGACCATAAATTTCACAAAAGTTTATTTCTAGGCCCTCACTTCTGTTCTACTGGTCTACGTGCCTATCCTTATGCCAGTCTTGATTACTGTAGCTTTTGTAGGAAGTTTTGAAATGGGTACTATAAGCCTCTAATTTTGTTCTTTTTTTCATAATTGTTTTGGCTATTTTGGGTTCCTTGCATTTCTCCATACAATTTAGGATCAGCTTGTTAATTTCTACAAAAAAGCTTACTAGGAGTTTGACAGAGATTATACTGAATGTATAGATCGATTGGGGAAGAACTGCCACTTTATTTATTTATTATTTTTTTGTTATTATTTGTTTGTCATTGGGATTTGTCTTTTTTTTTTTGTATTTCCAATCCTGTCCTTTGCCCATTTTCCCTGTATGGTTGTTTGTCTTTTTCACATCAATTTCTACAAATTCCACATATAACACATACACACACACACACACGTTGTTCTCATTAAGAAATTCATCCTGACCCCCAAATTCTAATTTATTCTCCTAGATTTTTTTAAGTTTTTATTTAAATTCCAGTTAGTATTCAGTGTAATACTAGTTTTAGTGCACAATACAGTGATTTAGCACTTCCATACTTTACCTGGTGCTCATCACAGCAAGTGCACTCCTCAATCCCCATCACTATTTC